AGAACTCTTCGGGGAAAAGGAGCAGCATTTCTATGGGTACACAACTAGAATAGAATCCCTGTTCGTGCCGTGTTAAACGTCATGTAGAGCCTGTGGCGAAAAAGGTTCATGGGAGCGGACGTCAGACCCCACAGTTCTGGGGTGATAACCGTCACGTACGTTAGCATGGTTAGATGACAATGCTGCCTTGGCCTACTGCAGTCATGGCAGTACGTACGGCACAGCCGACATGGCCAACGCTATTTTCGTACCTTCTGCAATCTTTCGAGGAGAACTGCTTTGACACCTTTATGATCGAGGCCTCTTTTTTCCAGCTCCAGCTTTAGATCTTGCACACGGAGATTTGCTACCTTCTTCTTCGACGAATCTGGGGAAACCATGATGCTGGAAAAAAGCACCAGAAGCAGGCCAAACACCAACTTAAAAAAATGGCGTGTGTGACGCGTGATTCCTGTCAGATTATGCTAAATGCGCGTGCGCGTGCCTGATTCTTCACTGGTTTACATCATCACCAACCACCATGCATGGTTGCGCAAAGGGCATGAAACCAGCTAACAAAAGTGCGCTTTAATTTTTACGTCACCACTACGTGTTTCACAGTCAAATTTTCCCCGAATGCCCAAACAGACCCTTGTATAAATTTAAAACTCAATCAATTCAATGTAATTTTCAAAAAGAAATCCCCAACGCGTTCTCATTTTGAACTCTCATATGATGCGTCTGGCATCCCTGCGATTGCGTAAAAAAATAGTGCATTTTCGCACCACGCTGCGAAATTATGGAGCCCACGTGATACGTGACAAAACACTTTGGCGCGCTAGCTTACGTCTCGATGCTCGAGTCACTGTGTCTTTTCCATGCTGCTACAAAAACTATACAACTTGGAAAAAGTACCAAATGAGGCTCTGCTAGAAATGATTTCTGAAGACTACCTGAACCTGATATGATCTGTCAGCTATTCTCTAACCTAGCGTGGATTTTGGCGAAAATCCAGTGACGATATTCAACTTGAAAAGAAAATAACGACTTGAATTGACGTCTAACAACCGATGAGGTTGCTGACATACGCGCTCTACACAATGATAGAAATGGCCTGTATTCCTTAAGTTGGCATAGATTGCAACAATTGTGGAAATGAAAGATCAAAATGTTATGTAATTGTGAGGTTCTAAATGCACTTTATATAATGCCAAAATCCTCTACTTGACCGTGCCGGTTTTAACCCAAGAGGTTACTTCGTTTAATGATACTTAGTTATCATAGTGTTCGCTAACTTGTAGAAAAGTGGGTTTAATCCTCACAAGCGGGCACTGGCGCCATCCGGCATTTTCCACAGGCTGTGGGCTCTCATCTATCAAATTGAACGTGATGCATTTTGACGTCCTCTTTCTGTCGTTTTCAAAACAGATTTCCACAGACTTTTGAAAGCAACATGCAGAGGTACAGGTCCATGCCTTCGTAATAGGCAACAAAAGAAATCATGGCACCATCGACGAGACATGACGAGAAAGCCACTATTTATGGCGTGCAAAGTTAACATTTAATCCCGAATAAAAATATCTCTATTCTTAAAAGCTGTATACACGGATTAAATGTTAACTTTGAACGCCATATTTATTGCGAAGATTTAGCAGATTTTAACTGTTTTACATTTGTATTCACAAATGACTGAAGCAATTCGAGGATTAAAGTCTCAAAAAAGTTTTTTAACTAAGGAAATTGTTGTTATAAAGTACGGACATGCAAGACCAGTCTGACGGGTTACGCAGTCTGGCCAACTCATTTGCATGAAAAGTGCTCCCACAGCTCCTTTTGAAAATGGAGATTGTTTATCCCCAAAATAGTGAGAAAATCTTTGTCAGAATCACCTCCCTTGTTCTCTGAGCTTTCATCTGAGAGCAGGATGGCAAAAAGGGGTTGAAAAATAGTCTTAAGTGCCGGAGAAAATTGAGAATTGCCGCTCGAAAAATGGCTGCTAGCAGACTTCAGAAAAGTCACTTTTTCGGGAGGGGGTCGTTTTGTGGGGAAAAATGTAATCAGTTAACCCACAAAAAACTGAAAAGAAATCGAAAGATTAGGAACCAGCAAACAATTTAAGTTTGGTTTCAGAAACCTCGGGGATGTTGATTTTACATCACGCTTTTCAGTGGGGCTTGAATTTGTGGACTGCACCCACCGGTGGGGGAATGTTTTCCGAATGGGGGGATGCATGTGTTAGACCATCAGGCATTAGCCATTAACAGCTCAATCCATTTGTCCCACCCAGTTATTTGACCTGCAACAATGTGGGAGGCCAGGCCGCCCCAATGAAGGGGGCTCCCCCCCCCCCGCTTCCGCCGGGGTGACTGCACCAAGTTGGTCTCTACTATCAGTCAGTGAACATTAACATAGTAATGACAACAGCTACAGTAGCGTAACTACGCAGAGGGCACGGGTGCCACGTACCCCCCCCCCTTGAAATTTTTGTTGAATTTATAGCTATACAGCTGTAGCTAAATTTCTTTTGGTGTCCCCTTGAAAAAAAATGTGGGCGCCCCCGGGTGCCCCGGGACATTTTTACCCTAGTTACGCCACTGCACAATACCTCAAGAAATTGCATCATGTACATCAAGCGTCGAACTTCTCTTCAAAGAGTCAGTTTTACACGTCTGGTGCTGGCTTAGCAGTGTGGATACTTTGTTGAGTGGTTCATTGGTAGAATTTAAAGTTTGGTTCTTTAAGGAGTGGGTTCGATTCCCACCTTGACACCATCCACACGCGCAATCCAGCACTTTTTTCTCTCTAACTTCCTTTTCCTTCAGCACTTTGGCCTAAACCGAAGGCAAATGCCACTTTCTTTGTTTTTCTGTTTCTTTTCCTGTGACAACCCTTTTTCGTCAGTAGGCCTTAATTGTTTCTTCATTGAGTGCTTCCTGTCGCAAACAAGTTGAAAAAAAGATTAAAATTGCATTAGCACTCTCTGCATTAATCGGGAAAGAGAAGAAAACAAAAGAAAGTATCATTTTCCCTTCAGTTTATCTCACTTTAGACGAACCTGCCGAAAGCAAAGAGAATTGAAATAAGATTAGATAAAATGCTGGATTGCGCGTGCGGATGGTGTCAAGGTGGGAATCGAACCCACTCTCTAAAGACGCAAACTTTAAGTTCTACCAATGAACCACTCAACAAAGTATCCACACTGCTAAGCCAGCATTCAGTAGTGTACGTTGACCTTATTTAAGAGATGCGTTGCACGTTATACGCCATTTCGAGGGATAGTTGCGTCATGCGTTAGCACAATGCCCCATGACAGAGCACGAAAGGCAAATTTATTTCAAGGTCACGCAGTATAAGCTCGAACCTTCCCCCAATCTTTCTAGGGAGATTTTACGCTCTATAATTTCTGGAAGAATGGTTTCTAACTGAAGCAAGCCCAAGAACTGCTCATGCTCATGTTCACGAGCATGAGTGTGGAAGTAGCAGTCTGCCAGAAAGCGCCGATGGCCCTTGAGTTGTGGACATCGAAACCACTTAATCTACAAAGTGCGGTATTATGAAGTTTATTACATTCGAGGTAAAGGAAAAGCAAACACGAAAGATTCTAATCCACACATTCGTATGTGGCTACCGATATGTCAAGTCCATTACAAATAATACCAACAAATATGAAGGTTGTGTGTTCAACCGGTTTCCACGCACACCGTTATGCAGCATTATTGTGTACGTGCATGACCTACTTGGGAACCGGGCACCAACCAGTATTGTGCAGGATTTCCTTCTCTTGCCAATTCTACTTTGACAGCGACGTTTCTAACATACAGTATCATTGTTCATCCACGCAGGTGACCATCTGAGCTTTTATTCCATTGTTTTTCAGTTCACAACTTCCACTTACAGCCGAAATACTATTGCTATAATCAGAACATTATCCGAATAGAAATATCAAAGTTCGGCTTTCATGGATCTATGCTGTGAAATTGGTGGAGTAAATTTAATTTAGGCATTGTTTTTGCCTGTCCTTGTGCTCTCCATAATGCAAAGTTAAGCATTCGAATTCGGAAATTATCACCGACAGAAAATTCACATGCATGGGTGATTCATCACATGATACGCTGTTATGTACGGGTTTGTGTCAGTTCAAGGCCATGTTCAACATCATAAAGTCTGCGTATATAGAGCCTGAAAGTTAACCCCTGATGGCGCGCTTCCGGAGCCCTTGGATGAGAAAAATAACATGCAAAGATTTTAGAATTTGTAATATTTTTTCGTTCAGTTACTTCTTAAAAATCCAACTCGAAAAGGGGGCTTTGGAAGATATTTGCTAGTAAGCCTATATCAATTTATAGAAACTGAAAAATCACATGACCTAAAAGAGAAAGATCGGTAGAATACAAAAGCGAAGTAATGTTCTTGAGGTCGTGGGTTCGATCCCCATCTTTCCTCGGTTTCCTCACGCGCAATCCTGCATTTTTCGCAGACATCGTTATATGAGCGTGTTAGCGACAAGGAAAAAAACGGCATGTTTTTGTTATCTTTTCTTTGATAAGGATTGCTTTTAAGCAACCTCATTTTTTTACTTCGAGGCGAAGATCATAAACGAGACTTTTTCAATCTTTAATTGATGGTCTTTTCGAAGTTCCAGTGATACCATTCCTGCATGTCAGAGCAGAGCAGTCAGTATAAATGTCTTTGTTTGCATGCCAATCAAGGTATTCGTTTTTCTATCACTTCATTTACTTCGTCTGAAGGGTGTTTGTTGATCAGTTATTTGTGTTTGTGTGACTGTGTTTTGTTTTGTTTTGTTTTGGGTTTGATTTTTGTCTTTTTTTCTCATATGCTCTTCATAATAATAACCGGTGGATTTTCCCGCCGAATAGTTTGATTATATCAATCCACATGATGAAATCGATTAAATATCTTTGGTCAGTTAGTTGCTAATGCATTCATTCCTGAGTTTGGGTGAGAGTCATGCCTTCGAAGAAACTCAGTCTTCAGCGCAGTTGTGTTCACGACGTTTTCGTTGGGTGAGTTGTCTGTGGGTTTGTCGTAAAGCTTGGCTTTCAGTTTGCCGCCGCAATATAACTTAAGTTTGTCTTCTTTAGTATTTAGAAGTATATATCAGAAAGAATTAAAGAATTCACATTTTTGAATGTCAGTGAGAGAAATTCCAACACGTTTACAAGAGGTGACTGCCAAGGGGAGCTTTCATAGAGGAACTTGCTTTGACTTGGTTTAAAAAGCAGAACAAACTTCTAAGTTTAGTTCATCACTCAAAAATTGTGATGTTCTGACGATATTGAATTCTATTCTGAAGTATCGTTTACTAAAAACGAATGTTCTAATGCTGCACGATAAATACTTTGTATACTTTGTAAATTATTATCATATTATTTGTGGCTGTGGTACTGGTGTCCTGTCATAAAACAGGTTACATATATTGCCCACCACGTGCACAGTAGTAAGGGATGCACCCACGTACTGTGTCCGGAAATATGTCCGCTGAGCTCATAAATTAAAGTTATAGACTCAAAATATTCTATATTAGAGGGTCCTCAGAGCCATGGAACTGGGGAATTGAAGAAATATGACGCTGAACCTCTAGGCCGGACTCAGTGCTTCCAATTCTGAGCAATTTGGATGCAATCAGGTCCGAAAGTGGCACTATTTGAGCCATTTTGCAGAGGGACGCTTTTTCAAAATGGAGTTTCCCGGGCAGTGAAATTTCCTTCATTTCAGGGGTGGTCTGCTTTGGGTGAGAATTTCTCAAAAATTCATAAGTCAACCCACTAAAAATTGAAAGGAAAATGAAAGGGAACATGTGGAACATCATTTTCTGTGCAGCCTGAACACCTGTGAGAGTTGTGGGTATTTTTAAAATATTTGTGAAATATGGGGATTTATCACTGCTGTCTATGCATGCTATGAGAAATTATTTGCTGCCCTGCACACTGAAGTTCTCCTTTATCCCGCCATTTGTATGACGTCACTAAGGAGCGGTTGTTGGTGACCTGCCTAAGTACGTACGTATACACTTTATTCATACAATGGAAACATCGAAACCAGACTATACGCACATGCCAGCGCGAGATACGTGATAAGGAGTGGGATTGTAGTTAGTGATAAAATCATGGCAGAAACAGGGGTGAGAAAGAAGGTATCAGACCTTCTTGTCAAAGACCTGAAAGCAGAACTAGAAAAGAGGGGCTTGGACCAAAAAGGGGTCAAAGCTGTCCTGTTAGAAAGGCTGCAAGGGGTGAGATTTTTTTTTCTCTGACTGAGTCTGCATTAAAAATTGTGAGGGCGCTTTTCTGTGAAGCATGCTCATAATGTACGTAAATATGTGTGTGACCAGATCCCTTATTTCGCCACTTGCGCTAAAAAACCAATCAGACCTAATAGGTGGCGAAATTTGGGACCTGGGAAGTATATGGTCACGCACGTTACACCTTTGAATATAATTAGGGCCTACATCATGTGAAACTAAAGATAACGTTGGGCCTTGGCTTGCCTAAGTAGGCCTAGGACTACATTTTTTGTAAGGCAATGAGAATGAACATAGGGGGGCCTACATGTATCATGGAGTAGGCCTACCCTAAATTCACGTATACAACGGAATTATGCACTGGCGTTAATTTACTATTAGTGACCGATCGTCACTTCAACCTTTTTCTTTTTGCAGCTAGGCCTATGTGGGAATTAAAAGCTTTTCCAGAGGGAACAAGCCTTATCGCAAATACTGCTTGGGTGATTTTGCGCAATGGTAGAAAGACATTGTGGGAAGGAAAAAGGGACAGTTTGGTGGCACTGTATTTTGTGACTTTTGTTCAGAAATACATGTAGAAAGAGAAGTTTTGTCATTATGTCCAGATAAATAACTCATATGTATGCTAATTATGATTTACTGGCAGATTTTGTAGAAGTAGGGCATTACCGATACCCCGTAAAATGACGTTTGCAACGTACATGCACAAATTATGGTGACTTAAGTTTTACTACAGCCAATCCGACTCGTTTGCAAACAACATTGTTTCCTGTTGCTTCGGTGACATCCGATGTTCTTCATAATATTATTCCATATACATAGGATTTTAGTCCAACATTCAACAACTGAAAATGAATTCATAAAAAAATTAGGCCTAGTATATTTAAGAACAAATTTTGGTCTAAGCAGTAAGTGAATAAATTATGGTGACTAGTGATACCGGATTTCCCTCCAGACAATTTTGAAAATCCAATACATTCATGAGGCTTTTATTCATTATTCATAAGTTGGTGTACTTTGAAATACCTTCATAAAAACAATCATGAAATAAAATGACTCATGTCCAAGCAAATATGGCCAAATTCATGGCATCCTTTCAATCTGGAGCCTGGCTACCACTAAATCACATTCGTTAGGCCCTTCACACAAACATGTATGTACGAAAAAATATATTTAAAGTTATGGAATTTTTAGTTTTCTTCAGTTGCTTTTATTGAAAGCTGTGTCCATTTACTGGAAGTGCTAGGGGCCGTTTCTTGCATGTACCTTCATAAAACTTGCCACGTGGAATTCCATTCCAACATACAACAAATTATGTGATCCGTGTGTAATTTAATGCTTACATTTGGTAAAGTTTGTTAAAAAAGTCACTTTTTTGTCTTAAATTGTCTGGAGGCATTGAGGGAGAAGGGTGAGGACCCTGACACAATACTCTTAGAAGCAACTTCATCAGCAAGACTTCCTAAAACCACTGGTAAGTGTTAGCAGATTTTTTACTTTTTGCAATCCACTTGAATTTTCACAGTATACTGGCAATTTCCATAGAAGATGAACTGCAACTGTAGTTGCTGTCTTCAAACGAAGGTGGGAGTTTTTTTGTACCACTACCAATCAATATACTCCTTGGAAGCTGTTTGCTCTGTGTGCTTTCCAATTCGTGTATGACCCAGCTCATTGCACACAGAAGTTATATAGCAAGCACGGGCACAAGGCATGTTGCATGACTCTGTCTGTCACCAACCAGGGGACACTTGTGCACAGAGCAGATGGTACTTGAGGTCTTTCTTCCTACCTATAGTGCATCAAGTAGTAGATTGGATCTCAACTGCGACGGTCTTGAATCCTCCAAGTTCAATGCAATTATTTTGCAAGATTTGAGGAATTATTTTATGCAGTGTATTCTGTTGAGAGACTTCTCTTTCTTGTAGCCACAGGGCTGAATTCCATTTTTTGCAGTTACGGTGTGGTCAAGTGGAACAAATGTCTTTGCGTCATGTAGCAGCCAAATGACCTTCGTTTGACCACAGGCAAAGCTAAAGATGAAAAGGATTGATTCGTTTGGAGGGTGCAAAACCTGAGACCCTGGAGAAAAATTATCAGTGGCTTAACGTTGATAGTCCTCAATCCTCCAACCATTGGTTGATTGAGGACTGTTGGGGGTTAAGGTTGACTCAAGGCTGAAAGAAAATGCCAGTTACTGGATTGTAAGACCTGCAGTGGTTGATCAGTGAAGTCAGGCATAGTTACGTTTGGGTTTTCCTTGATTGTACCACCTCTGCAGAGCAAGATCAGAAAGAGGAGGATGCCAACGAAGATGACGAGGTCACAGTGGAAGATGAAGATGATGAAGATGTTGTCATGGAACTTATTGAGGATTCTGACGAAGAAAATCTGGTTAGTTGCTTATTTGGTTGCAAAGAAATTGCAACAAAAAAATTGCTGTTTTCCAAAAAGGTTCTATACAGAACCATCAAAGTTTGATTGAGGCATTAGAAACAAAAATAACAGTTCAATGGTTTCAAAGGAAAAGGAGCTTTTCACAAGCAATACCTAGATCAGATTGCCCCATAGTTGCAATTTCCCAAAACTACCCTTGGTCTCTGTTCCATTTACTAGTTGATTTTCAAATTCAGCTGACACTAAACCTGCATCTGAAAAAGAATCCTATTTCCTGTGGTTGAAGGAGGAGGAAGACATTTACGGTGATTTGGAGGTGGCGGACGTGGGCCAGGAGGAGCAAGAAATGGAAGAAGAAGACGCAGAGGAAGCGGAAGAAGGAGATGAGGAGATGAACATCTCCCTGGAGCTGACTGCGCAAGAGGTGGACTCCCCCCCCCATCAGTTACACTTGACAACTAGGTTTTGTTTATGACTTGCAGAAGTAGGATGTCCTCCTGCAATTCTTAATTTGAACAAAAATGGATTGGCTTAAGGGAGATGTTAACCCTTGACCTCTGTGATATTAGGCAGTTTCTTGGCCAACCAAGCCATCCTGCTCAAGAATTCCATTGAGTCACTGCTTGTAGTGCCTGCTGCTTGTTATTTAAATTTGAACCATTACCCTGGAGGGCTTGTTGAGTGCCGTGTAAAGCTTCTCCAACAAGAGATAGGTCCAGGGTTCAAGTCCCCTCTGAATTAGGTTTTTATTTCCCTCAGACAGCTTTGGGTATGCTCCAGAAAAGGGCAAAATCCAAAATTCAAAGATTGCATCTCAAGACAAACCAACTTGACGCCGTGTGACCCTCCACCTTAGCTGCGTCTTTGCCCAGAGGGGATACGATGTTAGAAACCGTGGTTGGGGCTAGGGATGTTTCCCCAAGTCAAGATACTTGTCCCATCTGTCGAACCTCAAATATGAGAAGATGTGTTTGAGATCCGTCAGGAAGAGATAACCGATGCCGAAGTCTCGAGCTGAAGTGCATAAAAATGTCCATATTCTTGTTGTTTGTCTAAGAGAAAAAAGTCATTAACCCATGTTCAACCTGTTACTGACTTCTCTCCTTGCCTTTTTTTTGATCAGGAAGAGGAGGAGGATCAGGAAGGAGATGTTGAAGATGACGTCATCGAAGATGATCTTGAGGGTGAAGAGGAGGAAGGTAAAGCACAAAGCCACAGGGATCCAAAACTTAATGTCAGAAAGGGAGCCTGGAGATTTGCCATCCTATACATCTTAACGAGGAATCTTGTTTCTGACATCTTCCCTATTTTTATCATGTACTTTATTTGGCAGTTGTTGTTCGGATCAGAAACCAAACGCAGAGTGAAAAACACTTTTTTTAAAGAGTCACCTTGAAGATCATGTAAATAGGGGCTGGCAGGGGAATATGTTGAGTCTTCTTGTGGGGAAAGTATTTGGGAAATAGCCCCAGGTGAAGGAGTTGTTGAGGCGATCGTGGAATTGAATGGACAGCAGTTGTCGAGAGCTGCTTTTGCAAGCTACAAGCCATTATCATCTTTGAAGCACCCACCATCCACTGTGCAAAACTGCATGTTCATCTGTCGGTCGACTGCTTTGTGATGTACTGGATCAGCTGACTACTGATGAGAACAGAACAATCAGTGGCAACAATTCTGACCATCTGATGAGTGTTTAAATTTCTACTGCAAGATATGAAGGTCCATGACCCATCAGTTTCAAATCAAGTCACAAACTGATATACTCTGATGAACTAACTCGACGAGACACGGGGGAAAACAGGATGAACAAGCTGAATTCTGGGGCATCCAGATAAGCATCTTCATGGAGCCAACGTGTCAAGCATCCAAGGCCAAGACTGATAAGGGCGGCCAATCCCTGGATGAACCTGACCAGGAGAGTTGTGTGCTTCTGTGACAGGCAGTTAGAGCTGCTGGAACCAGCGGCAGCAAGTACAAAGACACATCTCGATGGAGGACTGGTGTTGCAGCAGCGCTTAGTGAGTGACCTGTGCTCTCTTCTGTCGAGCAAGGCTCACAGTAGCAGCCGGTTCAGCTCAACATGACAGTTCAGATGTGACAGAGACATTTAGAGACTTTCTGCTGTGGAAATGTGGTGACTTCCAGTGGACGGCAACTTCATTTCAGACACTTCAGGTAATCACACCAAAGGATTCGTGTGGGCCACACTCCACACGTTAACATTTCTACAACTGCGTGTGCCATTAATGTGATGGAACTTAGCAGCTAGCTCGTAAGATTGTCACCAAACCAGAGCACGTACTGTAAAGCCATCAGATGTTAATCTTTGACCTTGTAATCTCTCACCATGGCGATTAAAGCTGTGGAACTTATTCGGAGGAGAAATGTGCTTGAGGACCAGGGCATTGATGTCTTTGTGCAGTTGCAACGTGGGGCACTTTTTCAGATAGGAATGGAATTCGTCAACTGTAGCAGGTGAAGGAGTTGTGGCATTAGCTGCAGTCCTGTATTTGCCTCGAAACTGCATCACTACTTATGAAGAGTGAATCTTCAGAGTTGGGCAACACAGAAGTTTGAGAGCTTCCGATTGCACAGCACCAGCACCTCTAGGTGATCAGGTGGATGAAACAGTGAAAACCTGACAAGGCGGTTTTGTAAATGCCAGCGCATGACATCGTGAATCAATTAGATCAAGTAAGCACTTCTTCAGCTGAGGAAGCAAAGATGGACAGTGTGAAGTCTCGTGGGGCACAATTATGCAACAAGTACTCAAAAAGAACACCGTGGACATCCCCTGACTGATAGCCAATCTGATTGTGACGTCTGACGATCACAGTAACGCACCCGAAAGAGCGACACTTCGAAACGTCGATGTTAAGTGATGTTGGACACCAAATAGACCCTCAGCTATTAAAGTGTTGCAGTTGCTCCTAAGTGTGAATGTTGCGTGGAAAGTGTGAGGTGAATTTTATGGAGTTTCAGAGTAAGTCAGCTGTTAAAAACAGTCTGTCAAACCAGTGTTGCTGAGTAGGCTGTGCTAGATTGGTGATGTTGCAATAGGAGATTTGGGCCGTATGTATGTAGTGTAAATAAATGTCAGCTAGGATTGTCAGAAACAAGATTCTCTCTTAACTCCAAGTTTCCTTTTGCAGAGTCTCAGGGAAGCAAATTTTTTCATTTGAATCATTAGAAAATTGTTTTAGCGGTTTTCATTTTGTGTAGATTCCAGTGTTTTATGCCACTAGGTTGTTGACCTTCTTTGAGACAGGAAGATGTGCATTCATTTGCCACTTGTTAGTTTGTTTGCAATTGCTGTCCAGTCTCCCATGTGCTTGCGGCAAAGATGTGCAAGGGGAGCCAGACCCGGAGATTATCAAAATCTTCCAATCCTAGGTGCCGAAGAAGTAGCTGAGGGTGCTGAAGAAGAGGGAGACGAATCCGGTGCTGCCACCGATCCCACTTCTGACACCAAAGAAGAAGATGAATCCGTGGAAGAGCCCGTTGAAGACACTGAGGAGATGGAACCCGAAGAACCCAGCCCGCCGGGAGAGTCCGCGAAATCCCAGGCAGAAAAGTCCGATTCTGCCTCACAGGATAGTGGCACAAAGGCTGACAAACCCATTGTGGGGAATTCTGGGAACATTGCCAAGGAGACAAAATCCAAACCTGATGCTGGAGATGCTGGAAAAGGTGTCTCTGGTAATACACCCTCAAACAAAGACTCTACTTCAGAGAAGAAAGCAACATCCACCACAGGAACCAGTGTCCCTTCCAGCAAAAGGTTTGAATCTCTTGTTCACACAGCCGTATCTGCATTGTTCACATGCAACCGAAAAAAGTAATGTGTAGGTATAAGCATTATGTGCTTTGAACTGTGTTAATCCGGAGATGGCCTTCCTCTACTGTGGCCACTTTCTCAGGGTTTTCCTTTTTCATTCAATCAAGTTCAACGTGTTTGTGATATTAGTAAATGCTTCAGGATTCTTTGTCCTATTTGAAGGTAGATCAGTCTGTGACGAAAGCCCACTATCCAATGTTTTTCTTCAACCACAGTACTTCTTGATTTACAGCAAAAGCATGAAGTCCTTTTTAAAGTGAAACACACCCTATATGTATTTGCACGATGTTTCTTCCTTGTAAAACACTGTGTTCATGGTGTCAATACATGTACAACAGAAATTGTTAAGTAAATTGTCAGTTTGTGTTTGAAGTTTAAAAGTTAAGTCACACCGGATGAAGTTGTCTTGGAGCTACCACACTTGCAGACGTTTGTGTAAAATTAGTAGAAGCAGATGAGTTTTTGCATTGCACCATACTCCATCACCGTATCTGGACTTTTCAAAAGCTGACACTTTTGAAGGATTTTGTCCGGGGAGCCAGGGGAGGGACGGACGGAAGAGTTTTGCGCATGTTGTTCATACAACAGTCTGTGCGCCTATTCCATTCATTGACCACTTCGCACAGGGGTGCCTAGTACCATAGACCTTAGGTTTGTATGCATAGCCAAGGTGCCCCAAATTGGACAAAGGAGCTGGGCCTTGTACCAAAAGACCGTAGTCGGGGAAAAAAGACTGCGCTGCTGCGAAATTTCCACCTTTTTTCAGTTGTCAATAGCGGAGCAGTATACCACTATTTGTGGCATTCAGTGTGAGCAGATTACGGCCAGGGACAAAAGCGTTCCAGCCATGTGCGATACAATACCGCTGCACACTAATCCGGCCATATTTGAAAAGACACCAGCAGCACACTGGGCCAGTTTTAGGAACAAAAGGACATTACGCAACACCGCACAATCTGGGCTCTCTTTACAAGGCGGCAGGCCTGGCTGAAATACTCAGGCGTCAATAGATGTTGTCTTTCAGATTAGAGTAGCCACCAGACAGTCATTTGTGTGGGTGTAAACATCCAGTAAATGAAGTTATGAATTTTTGAAGAATTTTGAAAACAGAATATCCTGAAAATCCCCGTGGAACTCGCTATGCAACTTCAATTGAGACCCGGCAGCATATGGTTAAAAGGGGGTGTTCATTAGAAACTGTTTCATTTAAAGCTACAATCTTCAGTGTTTCTATTATCTAAAGGATTATTAAAGCACTCATTCTATTTTAAATGTGTTCACCAGCCCTCTATTTCATGGGATTCTAGAAAAGGATGCCTATCTTGGCTTCTCGATCCTGCTGTGGATCCTGCATACACGCGAACACACTTTTAATGCACATACTGCGCCGTGATCACCTCAAATTAACACCCCTAAAATCCATTTTGTCATAAAAATGACAGATGAACATTGAAAAAAACACAGTCAAAATTTAATTTGACTGTTTGGTACAGATTAAGCATTCACATGTAGTGTACTCGCACAGGAATGGAAAATAATGAACTTTGAATCTGCAGTGAATTCCTTGGCATCTTGCAGTGACTGATGTTACAATTTGGAATTCCATCCGGTGGCTCGCAGGTGTAGTCTCTGAGATCTGACATGAGGAATCCTGAATCGATCGGATCTCATTGCTCTGGAGAAACTTTGCAATTTGACCAGTACTGTATGCTACTGTATTAAGCATTGCAACTAGCAAAAAATTCCTGCATACCCAGGGTTTTGATAACTTTTTCCTCATGGAGCGTTACCTGGACAAGGAAATAGTCAGAAACTTTATAATGCCTGTGTGTTTCTTGTCTTGCACAACAGTGCTCTTTCAACACTTTGCCCACACCACTCGCAGATGCACTTACTCGGTGCACTTCCCTATGTTAACATCAGTCGGTTGGTCAGTCTGGGCATGGCAGAAGCTGTCGTCACTCGGGAGTCTGGCATGACCCAACGAAATAGGCTGTTGATATTGTCTGCCCACTGTGATGTCCTTCAATTGTCAAGGCTGCTGATGACGTTATACATTAACACAAAGAATATTGTACTTGAAAAACAGGGAACCATGAAGTGTTTGAACCGTACTTACTCAAAGTTAGTCTTGTCTTTAATGAGTTTTCCATTATGAGTGGTCATTTTGTTCTGGCTTACAATAGTAAGCATGTCGTTCTGTAAGCAAACACAATTGCTTGGACACCTGTTTGATTCAATCACCAGATAAATCAACTTCCTTCCCAGAGCTACTCTCTTGCAGTAAACATTTGTGCTGTAAACAGTTTGAGAACTTAATCCGTATCCGGTTGAAATATGTTCTCAGGCAAATTTTTGTGCAGAAGTGATATCATTATTACTTCTGTCAAAAACAACTCTGATTATCTTGTGATCTCATTCATATTTGGAGATCCAAAGGACTGGTCAGGGCTGCATCCCAATCTGTTGTTTAGAGCTAGGTCTAGGTCTTTACTCCATTGGAAGTACAGCGATACGTGCAGATTATATAGACCCTAGCCATAGCTCTGGAAGCCTGTTTTGGATGTGGCCTACATCTCTATGCCACACAATTGCAGTATTGTAATATCAACTCTTTGTTGATTTTTCTACAGCCCATCTGGAACTGGCAAGGAACCACCTAAAGATGACAAAGGTAACAAGTGAATCAGTTGAGCATTGAACAGGCTTTTCTAGATTTTGAGAATCCTCCAGGTTTTGGGGGGAAGTTGCATTGATTGAGGAAGGCACTAGAGCCTGACCACTGTACTTCACATGGGGCTTGCTGCCCCTAATTTTCCATGGGTTTCCTACCCAATTATGTGTTTAGGAAGATTCACGAAGTTCCCAACCAAAAAAATGAAAAATTGGAAGAATGATTGCATTTGTTGTAGAACATCATCATTTTTCATTTTCTCCCCCAATTTGTCTAATTTAGATGCAAAAGCTGAAAAGTGCAACATTTGGGTGAGTGGCCTATCAAAGGAAACTAGAGCAACAGACCTGAAGACAGCATTCAGCAAGTATGGCAAGGTGAAATGACATCTTTGGAGTAGACGAAATTGGGTGTGGTTGATTTTTTTTTACCCTGGGAAAGAGCAAAAGCATCGCCTGAAAAGCAGTCTGGTGGCTTCTTTAAAAAGAAAGCATTTGAGCTTTGTCTTCAAGACCTTTCACAAGCTGGTCACCAAAAAATGTTGAGCAGTGACAGAGGACCACTTTTGCCACAGATCGTTTGAATAGTTTTTCACTGGATTTAGACTGGAGGTTTTTTGCCCTGGTCGTATTATAGTCTTGAGGGCTCTCGACTACAAAAACAATTTTCAGCTGAAAATGAGACCGCTGGAGGGTCAATTCACTGTGGCATAATACTTAATAATCAAGTAACAGTGCAAGTGTGCATACAACTCTTGTTTGCTGTGAATGATGAGCAATTTGACTTGCAAAAACCTTTCATGTGGTAAATGTAATGAGTTGGGAAAAAATGACCTCTGAATCCAGTGGGTACACTGTCATTTCACAGTTTCATCTTTTATCAACTTGTAACTGTTGATGCTCAGGGTGTTAAAAACTGATTCCGGAAACTCAAAGATATGCATCTTATTTCTGATGTGGCGCAAGATCGTTTCTCCTCATTCGGTCATCTATATTTGGTGTGTAATTGTTTAGGTGATTGGAGCCAAGATCATCTGGAATGCCAAACTTCCCGGCCACCATTGCTACGGATTCCTCTCCATGGCTTCCCAGGCGGAGGCGTCCAAAGCCATTGACCGACTGCACCGTAGCAAACTGCACGGCCGCACCATCGACGTGACCTGGGTAAGAGCCAGGAGACCAAGCCAGCAGCACTGCTGAGTCTCAAAGTCAACTCAGGTTGTTGGAAATGTACTTCATGACAGTTGTCTCTGTTTGAAGCTGTCATTTTGAATTTCTCTCAGAACCACACCGAGCATTACTGTATTGATACACTCTAATGCATGTCACACACGTTGGTACTCTGGAGGTGCATGTACGCATTTCTAGCAGGTCGCAACCCACTATAGATCGAAGAGTCATTTACATGTATGCGTATGCTTTGTCGCACAAGCTTGGTACCGCTGTAGCAATGACTCCTATCCAGTTCGTAAGTATTTTAGTAGACATTGATGACCAACTGCCAAATACACCTCTTTGTACTCCCTCAGGTTCCAGTGATTTCAATGCTACATGTACATCGTGTGGGTGGGCATGGTTTATGTTGCAACAACGTCACCAGATCATTCTAATTGCCATATTTGAAGCCACCTTATGAGTAGGAATGAAGGGTATTTTATGACAGGCTTAAGGTTGTAACTGATTGGAATCTCAAACACCTGTCTTGTTGCCAGGCTCGTAACCAAACAGCTGGATCCGTGGCTCAGAAGTCCTCTGTGACGTCTACCTCTGCTGAGGCCCCAAAGAAAGATGACAAGGAGAATGTGGATGCCAAGAAGCCTGCTGCCAAATCTGCTGTCAAGGAGGATAAAAAGGATGAGAAGCCTCCATCCACCCCCGAGAAGAAAGATGACAAGGGTGCACCTGTAAAGAAGGATGGTCCAGTGAAAAAGGAGCTTGATAAGAAAGATGACAAGAAGCCGTCACCAGGACACAGGAGCAGTGTTGAGGGTAAGCTAGCAGATACGCAAAAAGAAAACCTACTATTCTCCATCATCAAAGCAATTTATTTTTTCAAAATTAAATCAAGGTCATCATTTTTGAGGTAAATTGGAGCTAAGATGAGAAAGTAGATGTGTGTATGAAAAATTCCTTTGAGAAAATTGTGCTTTGATTTGTTGTAAACCAAATTGTAGATGCTACATTTGGCTAAATAATTCATGAAAACAAGGAAAGTAGATCCAAAACTGCGCAAAAGATCGAAAATTTCATCATTAATTCAACACTTTGTTTCAAAATTGGTTGTAATATTAGGGTGGATTCACACCAGATGCTTTCTTAAAAATACAGGAAAGAGTGATAAAATAGCATCCAACGGCTCTGATGCAACAAAAAAGGGAGAATCTCTACCACCAGGAGGCGATTCCTCCAGGCGTTCAAGCACACATTCCGACAAGGACAGGAAAGAAAAGGTCCTTTCACTGGACAAGGCGAGAGAGCAGCAACGCATCGAGTACAACAAGAAGCGAGAGAGGGAAGAGAGAGAGGCAGAGCGTCGTCGGGACAGAGAGAGGGAGGAGCGGATCCGCAGGGAGCGGGACGACGTACAGCGGCGCCACCGGGAGGAAATCCGGAAGCTACGCAAGGAGAGGGAGCTGCTGGAGCAGGAGCAGGCCAAGCTGGAAAAGGAGCGAGCTGAGCGGCAACGCATTGAAAAGGAGCGGTTGAAGATGGTCCATGACCGGGAGAAGTACCAGCGGGAGATGCAGGAGTTCCGCAAGATGGAGATTCAGCTGAAGATTGACCAGGAGCGTTTGGCCAAGCTCAAGCACACCTTGGAGACCCAGACATTGGCTACCCAGCAGGCCTTGGCCAACCAGCAGGCGGCAGCACAGCAGGCAGCGCAGCAGGCAGCCCAGCAGGCAGCCCAGCAGGCAGCCCAACAGGCAGCCCAACAGGCAGCCCAGCAAGCCCTGGATCCCTACGCCAGTGACCGCAAACGTCGAGCTATGATGCAAGAGGGCATGAGTGGGAATTTCAACAACACAACGCCCTCTGACACGCGGCTGGTGGTGGCCATCGGGGAGCGCCACGTGGAGAAGTACGATCAGCGAGACATGCGACAGGGCCAGGGAGGAACACCTGTCCAGCACAATATCGACCAAGGACAGTTTGGCAGTCAGCAGCAATCCGGATTTGGTGGCACCAGTGGAATGCGTGACTCCAATTCTTCAAGCCGCTTCAGGGATGATTCTAGCCAGCGTAGAGATGACAGGTCACGCTCAGACATTGACAGAAGATACGAATCAGGGAGACGCAGCAACGACAGGCAAGATGACTCCCGCCGGAGATCGGCCAACCGAGACAGTGATGCCTCAAGGACTGATGGATCAAGAAAGAGAGGGGACAGCTACAGGAGAGATGAAGGATACAGAGGCATGGAGGATCCAGTCAGGAGGCTCGATTCCAGGAGGGATTCAAGGGATCATCAAGACCGAGATGAGCGAAGGGTGGTGTCCAACCAGCAGAACACCAGATACCAGGGGTCAGGTAGCGGAAGGGGAGGAGACAGTTCCTACAGCAGAGGAGACTCACAGAGAGATGGCCGAGATTATAGAGATGAACGGGATAAGGTGAGAGATGGAACATCAACACGGATGTCTTCCCACAGCGGGGGCAACAACTCCCGAGACAGCTGGAAGGGAAACCGCGATGGAGGCAACATGGGCTCGGGCAGTGACTGGAAGTCAAACGCTGCCGGGGGAAGTCAAAACCTGGACCGCTCCTCCGTGTCCGGTGGATTCGGCACCTACCAACAACAGCAGAAGCAAGATTTCCCCATGCAGACGTCGTCCATGCAAAATATGAGTGCTAGGATGGGTGGGAATACCTCTCTCCTCGGCCGAGGTGACCTGATGATGAACCAGCAAGAGCCTCAGCAGCAGATCCGAGGCAGTATCCTGGGCGAGCCGCCAAGTCAAGAGTCGGCCAGCTGGCCTCCTAGCGGACTGGATTCCTCCATCAATCGAGGGGGGTCTGGTTCCTTGGGCATGCAGGGCACTTCCCATACACCCAACATGATGAACCAGAGCCAGCCCATGGGTTCGATAATGAGCAGCCAGAACACCATGGGCGGTGGTCAGTTTATGGGCGGAACAGGTGGTGGGACGGGTGGAGGCATGAGCGGGGGCATGGGCGGTGGCATGGGGAGTGGTACGGGCGTCGGCCTCGGGGGTAACATGAGCAGCGGGGGCATGATGAGTGGTGTTGGAGGAGGCTTGTCAGGGAACATGGGCATGATGTCCCAGGGCTCCATGGGGGGTGGTGCTTTCATGGGAGGCAGTCAGATGTCGATGGGTTCAGCAGGGGTCAATGTTGGCCTGGATCGACTGCAGCAGATGCAGACAGACAACAGGTTTGGTACTATGCGCCGCTTCTAAGATGACAATTTCAAAAACTGCATAAACGCTACATTGCCCTATTAAGAAGAAAAATATCATGCACAAAAATAGATGTGAAGAGATTGCAGCCTGAGTGATTGTTATCGCTGTCGTCTCTCCTATGCCCATCTTGTATGTGATGAAAAAAATGGCGTGAATAGATGATAATAACTACAATAAAATCGTTATTCTTTATTAATAAATATGATTCTATTTTAGCACATAACACATTCCTCACAGCGGAACAGGCTTTAGATCAGCCCTTTCTCCTTCAAAGGTAATTGAGTAAGCAAGACGGGTGTACCATTGTTGTAGTCAAGTCCAGAAGTCTAGTCACAAGTCCTTTCAGAAGACCTGTCATAAAGGAGAATCGAGTTGGACCAAGAGAGGGCACAAGACTAGTGCAAGTTTCTCAGCAAAGGAGGCTCCTTTGGTCGGAACTGAACTATGCGTTACCGTCTCATCATTAACAAATTGAAGACTCCTGACCAATGTGGCTCTTTTCAACCGGTAAGGGGAGCTGCTGCTCGAGGTGGATAATAGTCAGTGATTTCAAAGGCACGTTTTTGTCACAGTTTATTTGAATGGCTTGCGTCTTGGCTTAAGACAGGTTGATTTGTCATGGTCTCAACTACAACACTGTTTTACTGTAAATTTTAAAGAGAAATTTCTCTGATGCTGAATTTTGATAACTTTTTTCGCTATGAATTCCAAATTTACTGCTTGGGTCTCCATTTGGATTCTATGTCTTCTTCATCCATGTTGTGTTTTTTCAGATTTGCATTAGGAAAAATGAAGCTGAAGCACTATATTTGAGTTGACCTTATTTGCGGGGGACCCAATTTCAGTCAGATTCCCCAACATAGTGTGTTTATTTAAAAACATTAAATTTAAAGAACCAGACTCTGTTCTACGATTTCATTCCAATGCCCCAAATCACCTGGTACCATCCCATTAAGGGTTTCAAATGTGTAAAATACATTCAGGAATACAACTGAAATTGGGTACCCTGCGAATATGGTCTATTGGTTTTTGATTGGGAAAAATGGGACTATACGTATGGAAAGTCTCCAAGCTGTAATTGTTTTCTTTGAAGTGCATTATGGTGAAAAAGAATTTTAACAGTCGTGGTGCAGCTTATTTTACCATTTAGTGTTGTAACAGTGACACTGTGCATGTTTCATTTACAGGATGGCATCAGCTTTGGCAGCCATTTGCAATGTATTTAATGTTTTTCCATTTGCTGTGTTTTGCACTTGCTTGCTGAACAAACCGGGGCAACAGGGCCGTACTGGGGCAAACGCTTTGAAGAAAAGTTGAAATAAAAGTAGAAGATGTAGACAAGTAGACTTGACAGTAGTATTAAAAAGGAATTTGGCTGTTGTCATTTTCAGTTGCCAATTTTGCATTAGGTTAACTTTCATCTAGTCCTGCTTGAAAAACTTTTCTGTGCAGGATGGTATTTGGAAACTAAATAAATGCTTCCCATTAGCTGGTGTGCACATGCTATCTGCTGCTATAAACATGCCGTGTAAACAAGCTGCTATGTATTAGAATGGATACAGTCGCGACACCCATTTTGTCCTGGAGTGTGTGAAGCAATAGTTTGAAACAAAAAGGGAAGAAATTGAAAGAGCCATGATCAGTCATCAGTTTGAGAGTGCCGTCCATCTCTGTGGAAGAATCAGTCTATCTTTTTGAATAGGTTAATAGGATCATCTTCAACCAAATTTTGCCTCGACTGACGTAGTACTGCACTGAATAGAAGTTGTAGCTTACCATTCACTTGTACTGCAGTATATTCTAACTACATGTAATCACTGAACCTTAGTTTTCACATAATCTTTGCCGATACAGGCCTGATAAAAAGTTGCAACTTGTATTGCCATAAGCTTAACACATTTGTATTGGCTACCTTATTGAATTAAGAGACTGAATATACTTGACTTTGCTTAGTCTGGTGCACTATGTATTGATATATTTGGACGTATCCGTCATAAAATTTTTGCCTGTAATTGCCACATCATTGGACTTCAAATAAAGAGGTTTGATTTACCGTCTATTAGTACTACTTTTCTTTCTTTTTTTATTTCAGAAATCATGGGTAATTGCACTTTCAATTTCTGGTGTATTCTATTGTTAATTGCATTTTTGTAACAACTGTTTTGCTTGAGACATAGCTTGAGAATTAAACTTGCCCAAAAGAATTCACCTGATTTGTAAGCTGTATGTTTTTTTCTAGCAGCAATGTTGTTCATGTATTTTGTGACGCCATCAAAATGAATTACTGGTTTTATGGATTTTTAGTCTGTGGCCGAACAAATCTCCATTTTTTCTCAACTTTCAAGTTTCTTGTACATCAGGGTTAAGATTTGTCAGGATTTCTCTCAATTTGAGGATATTTTCATCAATTCAAGATTTTTCAATCTCTTTGAAAGTCTTGAAAATCCCATGTGCACCATTAAGGTGCTTGTTCATAGAAAAATTAATATAGCACATAAGAAATGGACACTTCAAGGGGTGCCTATAAGGAAACGTTTACCATAGACCCTACATTGTAACAATGAACAACAGCTTGTGTACTGGTTTAAAAAAGATCATGCTTGTCCAGAGGAACTCCAGCAGTATGTGTGACACTTGGGGTTAAAAATGGATGAGGGAAAGAAATTCAAAGACCAGAACAGCACTCGACACGAGAGAGCAATTTTGTTTTCTGAATAAAACATTTTAATTCCACATTCAAGAAACCAATTACATGTACCCATGTGAATGTAAAGTCTTTAACTGAAACTGACTTTCCAAAAAAAAGGGTGAGGAACAGCCTTGGTCTAAAATAGTTTCAGAAGGTAAGAGCATGTTTATGCATGTCAAATTTTAGGCCTACGAGTGTGAGCCGAGTTTCAATCAATTAGTGAATTTCTTAAACCTTGGTGAATTAGTTTTGCTGCTTGTTTTTATTATTAAAATCTTGGTTTTTGAGGGCCTGCATCTTCATTGCCTGTCACAAACACAAAAAGGTACAAGTGTAGGTTTGGATGAAAAACTACAGTAATTTACAGAATTTTTATTACTTTAACACATTTTAAAGCATGTAGAGAAAATCTGAAGTGAAACCCAAACTTGTCTTTTTCCATGCATATATTTGAAACTCTTTGGGCACACGCACTGATTCAAAACAAAAACACTGAACCCTCAATTCCATTTAAAAAGGAATTGTTCACAAATTGCCCAATTCACTTGTATAAAATCTGTCCTTTTAGATAGAATATCGCCCAGAAATTTTTGTTTTTTGCACTTCTTGGCTAAAATCATTTGTGCACACAATCTTTGGAACAAACAAATTTTCCACAACCCCCCAAATAACTGTCGAGTTCCTACAGAGTCAACACACAGGTCGGATATGTAGCTGACTGGAATATATGCAAGACAGCAGAGAACACACCCTGCACTATGGCCTGTTGCAGAACCACCACTGTAGGCGTGTGTGGGTGAGAGACAGATTGAAAGTTGATAAGATTGTGATGAGCGTTGCAGGTGAAGAGCTGGGATGGCTCAAGGACATGCAGTTCTACGGGATGTCATTCATCATGGGTGCTCCGGTATTCCATAAATCAAACCTACAATGTAAACGAAGAGACAAAAGCAGCTCAGAGGCATGGATAAGTACATGAACATTATCTGTCTTTTCTTATCCCTTTGAAATTTTGTTCACATTTTCGAGTAAGCATGTTTTCTAAATAATTTTTTAGATCTTGTTTTTTCTGGGCTTACAATCAAGTCACCTCTAGATGCAAAGAGCACCCTTATGACAACATATTGTTATAAAGTGCAGGTTCTGTTGAATTCATTTGGTTTTTTTATTTTGTTCTTTATATTTTTTTCCAAGTCCTCTAACAGGTTCTGATTATAGATGAATCTGGTGACCATGGTAATGCTTTCCCTGGTCATTTGCAGTAGCCTTTGTCAATAGAAATAAGTGCTGTGATAACTTTTGTACGGGAGCCATTAATCCATGACAGTTGCTCTATACTAAGCTAATATAATGCTTTCAACTATGATGGAGGCCATTGGGAACATCCAGTAAAACGTTGCTCAGTTTGTCGACACCAAGGCAATGAACCAGTTCGGTATTCCAACAGAGCATGCCCAAAATGCATCACACCCAAGATCATTCGGGGAACAGCAATGTGCACCATGTCTGCCCACTCAGCATGGCCACATGCCGACTTGCACACATGCTTCATACTGAAGCGACCTTGACTTTTCTTAACTGGCTCAGGTGGCTGGTCCAAGTATGGAGATAGAACCTCCATGGTACAAGCAACCTTGCTCATTGAGTCAACTCTGTTAGATAAGGCCCATCTGAAAAATTTGAAACGCCAGCTGTTTCAACACATCTGTAAATGACACATGTAACCTGAGCTGGTTATCAACGAAAAGAAGGCAACACTCACTGGATAATTATAAACAGAAAAACCTGCTTGCTAAGCAGTCTACTTCTTCTTGAGCTGGTGACGGACCAAAATAAATGGAGCGGCGAACCCTGAGCCAAAGAACACCGTCATTATGCCCAGCAGGCGCCATTTCTTGTTGATGTCAAATGGCATATTCTGTAAAGGTATCAAAATTGCATCCTGTTCAGTACACCAAAATATTCTCATTTTGAACACTTCATCAAAGTGTCTGTGCATATTCACTGTTATTCTCAATGAGGGCCCAACCAGGCTTGGGAGTATGCACACAGGGAAGAATTCTGCATCAGACTATCCCAATTCTCAAGTGCCATGATGCAACCAAGACAACTAGGGGATTTCAGCATGGAAAAGGAGCTTGCTTCCTTACTCAGGGAAGAGGCCTTTGAAAAGCAGAGATCAAGTCAACTTCCTGATGTTCATGATATACAAAATAATAATGATCCAATTTGGAATACTTCCCTTCAGACACTTTCTTTTCTTTTTCGGTTTTTATTTAAAACATTTTCAACAACCATTCACCAAACAGCATACATAATCACACAGCATACTTGATGTAACGAACATAAAACTTAGCATTTATAAGCCAATGTTTTTCTCTTTTTTTGCAGAAAGACATGAAATTGGCATGATGACCACAATACACTGAAAGAACAAAACTTTTTGGAGATTGACATTAATCCATAATTAGTCATTTCTTTTACTGTTTCCATGGTTTTTGATACTTTTGACCAGTCCTAGCACATGTTGCACTCTACAGGCTGTAGAACTTGAAGTTCACAGGATGAATAACATACATTCATATAATTGTAATTTTTATATTCCAAAGTAGGCGAACAATCAAATTTAAAACGGATTTTGTTTAGGCATGGAGGTAGGTTTACGGTAACTTAAATTTGTTCTTTACAGCTGTCACAACGCAGGCTACTAGTACTAGCCCAGGTGGACTCCCTGACCGCCCGCCAGTCGTAATGAAATGAAGACAACGTCCAACCTAGTACCTGGGCTAGCACTGCAGGCTGCAGAGCCTACGCCATGAACTCTTCAAAACTTCGAATAAAAATGAAAAACTCAGAAGGCTTACACTGCCTGGTCCTTCACCGTAGCCTGCCCTCCGAATCACGGACGTGCTAAAATTCCTACGAACAACATTAGATACCCGTGATAAAGCCATTTTTAGAAGAGATTTTAGAAAGTCGCCCCAGCTCTACTCTCGAGACTCGCAGACTAGACGTACAATGCCGTTGTATATTCTTTAACACGTTCCGCCCAATTTGGACATCGCCAGTAAGTAAATAAATAAGAAATAATTAGCCCAAGCGCGTTTCTTTAAGCGTTTAAAGCGCCCAAAATAAGACAAAGACAAGCGCCCTCTACAGTCCTAGTTCCGCTCATTTCACGTGTGTGTTCGGTACGGGCTGTGTCAATTTTCTGGTTAATTTTGCCGATTTTCTTAAAGTTTTGGGAGTACATTCGTGTTGTAAGATGTCTCAAAACGAAGTTGACCTCGACCCTGAAGATGTCGAGTCAAACTCCACCGCGCCCAAAGCGAAGAAACACGACAGCGGGGCGGCGGATCTTGAGAGAGTTACGGACTACGCGGAAGAGAAGGAAATCAGTGGACAACGGCTTACCAATGTGTGTTGGCATTTATTTTGGGAACCTATTGCAAATAGGCATGTACTAGACCGCTATGGGACTTTTTTGCTTTTTCGATTGTATGGACTTACTTTGCTGTCATGAATATGTATGCCCTAACATTTCATACATGTGGGAAGGTTTGTTTTACCTTTTACTAGTTTAAGTTTGGTGTGTCCAATCAAAATAGTCAAATTTACAATAATTTACCAATGCGAAGTTAGTTCCAGTCCATGTTCAAGGTTCGATATTCAGTGTTGAACAAGTAAGTGTTTGATATTGAACTTTGAATAAGTAGCCCTTTGACATTTAGGATTTACATCCCTAGAAATGAAGGAGTGCAAAAGGCACATAAAACAATCCATTCACATGATGTAGCTTATTTACTTTGTACATGCCATTACACCACGATGTATACACAGAACTCTCTTCCACACAGAGGCAACCCAGGGCATGGGGTTTTTCGGGGTCAAAAAAGCCCTCTGACAAGTATAGGTGACAGTGGCAGTTTTTACAGCAACATAATTATTTGAGCTCAAAACGGTCAGTTACACCTACTGTTCGAAACTATTTCGGTCAATTGAAAGAATATGCATCAAGCCCCACGCTCAAGGTCAAAATTTACTTTCAAAGTGCTTCTGTACATTTTATCGACCCACTACTTGCATTTGAACCAGGGTAATGCAGTATTCCATGGTCAAAACGACCTTGACTAAAGTGGTGTCAATGGAGTTATTTGCTTGCAAACCAGAGTAGGAAAGCAAATGTATCATACCAAACTTTTCTCAAATCAAACTAAAATACCCAAACCCCCTGCCCTGCCTCAAGATAAGATTGAAGCGGATCTCATTGTTTTCTTCAATCTGCGATGACTCCCTGCAACCCAGGCCATGGTGTTTTTCAGATTCAAAAAAGCCCTCAAATGTAAGTGCTGCAGCTTGTGTTTTGTTCCTTGTGCACTCCATCGTTTCTAGGGATGGGCATCCTGAGTGCTCACCAAATGTAAAAGGTACTTATTCATTGTTGAATATCAAAAGGTTACTTGTTCAAATGAGGAATAAGTACATGTAACTGACTTCACACTGCCCAAGAATGTCATGAACTTTGCATACTTACACTGTGCATGGAAGACTGACTGGTAATTGTATTCACTAAGTTATAAAATGTCATCATTGTCTGATTGTCAGCAGTATGATGGCTTGACCAACTACAGTGTAGTTCCTTTTTCTGCCCTCTTGCCCTTAAATGAAAGACGCTCTGCTATTGGTTGAGTTGCATCTCTGCATCAGTGACCAATTACAGTGTGGCTTTCATTTGACGGTGAGAGAAACATAAAAAGATAGGAGCAGTGCTGTGATTGGTCAAGTTTTCATACTGCTGGCAGTGATGACCTTTCAACTTAGTCGTACTACAATGCTAGTCAGTCATCCATGGTTTGGATCAGCAAACTTCTAATTAATGTCACCATTTTAATTAGATATTAGGTAAACAAACCTCCATAGTCAACATTTAACCATGTAAAGAAAGGACGTATAAAAATTAAGGCGTAAATATTTTTGACATCAGAGTAGACCTAAGTACTTACAATCAGGATAGCTGAAAACTTTCCTTTGGCACTTTCTACATGTCTATCTATAAGTATCTGTTGAGCGTGTTCAGTTGATCTATTCTTGCTCGATCTTTGCACGTTCTGTTCATGTTTGCTTTGTCAAACATTCTGGTATTATGCAGTCGCTTTTACCCTCCAATTCATGGTTGTAAAAGGTCGTATCTGAAAGGGAAGTAAAGTCAAACATTTCATATCAGATCAAATGATTGCACTATGAGATCACCTGCAGCACGAGTGTGCCGATTAAGCAATTGTGCGCATCCATTTTCTTGCTGTGTGGTCAGAGTACTAATGTGCAAATGACCTGTCCATCTGAGGCAAAGTGTCAACCATTGACCTGATACATGTAGTCTTTGTTAAGTTTCAACATGTGTCAATATGTGGTCAGTTGACACAAAAGTGTGCAGGGTTTTTCCCTGAAACTTTAACCCTAACTCCCCAGAGTGATTTACTGGGAACCGCACCCATTCACACAAATTCCAACACCATATTGTAAACTGTGCACAAAAACTGTTGGACTCTGTTTTGGGGGGTTTGCCTGAACCCATGTTAAAGCACAAGCAGTTTAGGGGTACAGTACCCAGTGCCACAAATTCACACACTTTACTGGTGTTCAATTCTGTGCGGTTAGAGAAGGTTAGGGTTAATGATTAATGAAGTTACTGTGCTTTTCTTGTTTTTAACTGCAGGCATTTGCAGCCATACACCACAGAATATCACAGGAGAAATCAGAAGAAATTGAAAGGTGAGGATTGTAGTCTGTGGCAGTTCTGTCTGGAGGCCTCCCCGATCCTTGAAAAATTGAAAACACCTCTCCAAAAATGCCAAATTATGAAATAACAAAGAACTTTTCCCACTTTTACTGCTTCAATGGCAAAACTGTTCCATGTTTTCTCTATAATGGGGCCAAGATGTTTATGTCAGCTTTTGCATTTCACTGCCTTAACAACAAACTCTTGTATTTCCACAGAGAGCGAGAATTAGCCAAAGTTGTCATCAAGAAGACAGATGTTGATCTGATTGTAAGTGATCATGTTTCATACCCATTTGGAGAATTACAAAACTGCAGTTTTCTGAACCAAGCACTACATGGCCCAGAGAAGACTCAGAAATCACCCCTGGCTCAGTTGCATGTTTTTTCATTGACCTGTGGGAAACAAGTGTTGATCTTTACCAAATGCAGTTCAACTTTGTGTCACAGGAACGTCACGTCATGCAACGTGTATCCATAATGTGCAGTGTTGTGGTGGCATTTGAACCCAAGATGAAGATGAAGCCAAAGATGATGCCGAGTCATTTTGGAAAAAAATTGCCCTGAATCAAAAAAATATGTGGAATGACTATTTAAAAAAAGAGGTTTTTTGCCTATCTAAACTCTGTTTCCTCACTGCAGATTCAAGAGCTGGAAATCAGTAGAACGGAAGCGGAAAGAAGCCTGCGAGAGAATAAAGGGAATCTAGTGGAGTCCTTGATTCATCTCACTAACTGATGGCATGCAGCATTCACCATAACATCTTGGAACCTACCCCGCACTGTACTCGAACCCCCAAGGGAGCTGGTATTATAGCCGGGCTTCCATCTAGAGGGTGATTTGGAATTCTCATGTCGGGAATGGATCTTGTATAACCGTGCCATTGCTTTGAGAAAACATAAGCTTTAAGTTGCCTCTGAGAATTTGACAGACTCGACATAGATCTAAAGACACTCAGTGCTTAGTTGTGGCGCACATCACTTCTGATTATTTATTGACTCTTTAATTTGAAAACATAGGTTTTGCAAGTAATGTGTTTTTTTTTAAGTAGTGTTCGGTGTAGTGTATGTAACCAAATGGTATGGATTGAGGCAAGTGCTTAGAATTTGAAACAGAAAAGGGGAAATTTTCATGTGCATACTGATCATTGGATTCACTGTTATTTCAACACACAAGTATTATTTTTGTGATATTCTTGACGTCATTGCTCCGTCAGTTACTGCGAAGCTGGATGCAACTTTTAGTTTTCCAAAGAAATGATAGGGAAATTGGAGGTGTTGAACCTGTAGCCCCCTTATGCCCAAATGAAAACTGGATGAAAGGAGGGGTCTGACTTACCACCCCTAGGTATGTGAAAACTTACATTAAAGGGGTACATACAAGTGGATGGTGGTTAGGGTTCCAAAACATCCAGCGCGGAATGATTGCAGTGCCTGTAGAAAAAAATTCTCTGAGTCCATTTCAATGTACTTGTACTTGTACCATCTGGGATTTCACCGACTGTGTAGGCCTTGTATATGTGCAGTTATTTTCAGGTGTACGAGTTCATGATCTGATCAGCTCTATGTTTAGGTTATTTTAAATCATCTTGCAGTTGGAGGATTGAGGACCGTTGGGGTTAACGAATACATTATACATTTGCTGGTCTTCAGTGTTCAAGATCAGATTGGGAGAACGGCATTTTCAGCATCCATTCTCTTGATGCTGTCTTTACAATGAACATTTCCAACGATTTGATTTTATGTAACCATACTTCATTGCTTTAACAGCGTGTGTCCCTCTCACAAGAAGTTGATCTCCATACACGGACACTGGCGTGCACGTGGCACATACTGCACGAGGTGATGCACAGCTAGACAGTGCTTCATCAACCGTTTACGGCCAGCCACATGACAGGCCTCCAATAGGGATGGCTAAACAGTCTTTACGAATACATGTACAGGTTTATTGTATTCCTAAATCACTAAATCTCATACTGAGCCTAACTGCTACATCCCCCAAAATGCTTTGACGACTTGCATGTCGGTGGCTTGATGAGGGGCAAGCAGTGTTGTTGACGATGTAGGAGACTTCACAGCTTGTGGGTTTGTGCTTGGCTAAATATAATGTCTGACAGGCCAATGCCTATGCTAAGTTGACCAAAGCAATTTTCCTTAGTGGTTTGATTGGGGTAGGAACCTACATGACTGTAGGGTGGACCCTTTGCTCTGTACATTGTAAAGAGACATTTAGATCACCGAGTTGAGTGGTGTTGTAAAATGAATAAACCGTGATAGCTTTAGAAAAAGATTCCATTTGTCATGTTTTTGCTTTATTTTTGGTTCACAAATATTCATGTCTTTGGGTTACAAAACTTTGCAGAGACCGTGGAAGACGAGAAGGTAGCTTAGATTATTCAACAAGCCAACTTGGTGTTTCATATAATGAAAGGATTAAATAGATTGAAGGATAAATTTACGAAGAACACAATTCTGAAATTCTAGAATTTTGGAAATCATAAAGTGCATATTAAATATATTTTTCTAATGCATTTTTGCCAAGCAAAAATTCACCGACAACTTAAAATTTTTGCATTTCACAAGTTCAAAAATGAATTTCATTTATCCAGAAATTGACAAATTCATGTGAGCATAGTGACGGAGTTATGAAGGTAAGGAAATTGGCGGAGAAACCAGGGCCACGTCAAGGCATTTTACTGGTCTAGATCCTCCGGCCAAAAATGATCGTCCATGAAGCTGACCCGGAAACCCTTGTCGGAGAAACCAGACACTCTTTCTTCCTCCCACTGGCGCTCAACAAGTTTGTAGAGGTTCATTGTTGCGCGGGCATCCTCAACGGAGCAGTGCTCGCCCTGCTGGATGGAGTGGCCAAAGAGCTGCTTGGTCAGCCTCTTCAAGCTGGGGTGCTGACCCGGGCCGATGGTCAATCCGGCCAGCTCACACAGGCCCTTGTACATGCTGGTGTCCCTTGTATCCTCCCATGGGTGGCCGAGCTGGAGGACCTGGATGTCAGATATCAGTGCATGGCCAATCAGGATCTTCCCTTGCAGGATGCCAGCGATCTGCTGCTGAGCTTCCCGGAAGGGGACGGCGTCCACCATGTGGTGTTTGCGGATGCCGCTCCATGGCGTCCGGTAGTGGAAGATTGCCAGCTCCGGCTTGATGTAAGAATCGTATAAGATGTTACAGTCGTAATCGACGATGCTGCACCTCCCCAGGGCACTAGTTCTCCCCTGTGGACCCACGCCGACCATTTCACAATCAAGAGCAATGAGCTTCTCCTTTGGAATCAGTCTCCATCCATCCGAACTTCCATCCCTACTATTAATATCTCCAAGAAAAGTTCCATTCGATTTATTCTCCCCATGAGAAGAGCTACATGCTAATGCTTTATGAAAGGTAGATGAACATCCGTTCTTGCATCCCTCCAAAAAACCCTTGACCCTGTCGCTAGAAACTACAGGTGAAACATTTTTGTCACAGTGTGTTAGTGCTGTGCTTCCTGCCTGTAACGTTTGGTTTGACTGCACAGACTCTGCCTGCAAAACTTCTAGACTGGCCCTCTTGGCCTTGTAGCTCAGGAGTCTGGCGAGTCTCGTCGGCAGTTTCATGTTCCGCATCTTCTTCTTGGCTGCCTTCTTTGCCTTGTTCTTTCTGGTCCTCTTCCTCGGCTGCCTTAGTGACTGGCTGCCTGGACAAGCTGCTCCAGATGCACTGAGGGCCTGGTGGCCAGCCTCATCGGCTTTACCCTTGACTTTGGCAGATGGCATGATTGTTTCTGAAAATGGAAATTTTCAAAAGAGTACATGTAATTAGGTCGATAAGTTATGATAAGAGTTAAGAAAAATGGTACGGAAGAAAGAAGAAAAAAGTACAGAAAGCTTCAGTACTTGACTCGATCACTGAATAAAGGAACATGAAGCACAAAGTAAATGATGTACCTGATGTACCAAAACTCCACTTATGACTGAAAAACCTATTCCTTTGTATTTTCTTTTTAAGTTTTTTTCACAACCTAACCGCTACTTCAAAAACATTATTACACTGTTAGTTTATGTATAGGTAAGCAGTTTATGTTCAGTGAAAGTATTCATCACGCAACATGCTAATTTCTGATTCAGTTTACATGGTCAATGATCCCATATTTACATGAGTTACACAATGTTATATAAACATGAAAATGTTCATGGACAGGACAACAGTGTATGCCGCCGGCTGACAGTCATGACAGTACCACGCCATAACCACGGCATAGGCCTAGTAATAGTATCAGTTCCAAATACAGTTTTGGGACTGTCCAAAATATAGTTGGGACTAATGTTATAGCTGGGAGTAACAACAACTGAACAATCATGACAATGCTGGCTGAACCATCATGACTTGCAAGTTGTATGACCCATGCCATGGCTAGATCCGGAAATTAATACTGTCCGAAAATTGGGCAAATCAGAATACATTCTACTTCTCTCATCTGGATGCATTGATTTAAGAAATGTTAATACAGTATACTTACCTCATATCGTGACTCTCTAACCAACACGAAATATACACACTGAATCTTGATGTGCATGACCAGTTTCTACCGATATCTACACCGATTGCTTACTGATTGCGAAACACCGAAACGCCCGGCGAACTAATCAGTCTGGTGCCCTTAACAATTGATCTGAGTCATACGATAAATTACATGCACGTCAGGATTTTGACTTCACAAACGGCACGTGGACTTTC